ATATATATATATATAAAATGTGTTGGTCTGCAGGTTTTTTGCGGACAGCTTGGATAAGTTTCTGTTTCTTCATTGGCCTTTGCTCTGGAAAAGACGCTCCTTGACTTCATTATGAACATATTCCTCCACCAGGAGGGGCACACAGCTAAAGTGGGAGCCATGCAAAGAAATTGCATGTGTCCTACCACAAGAATGTGGGCTCTGAGTTTTAAGAAGACATTCCCTCTGCCGCTGCTCTTTATAGCAGCAGTCTGGCTCCACAGCCAAGAGCCAAAAGCTTGCTCTCCCTCTCTCTCCATGAAAAGTAAATAGCTTCAATCTGCCACTACTGAAGTCATCACAGAATGTTTACTAAAGGGCCTATTATGCTGCTGTCGTGAGATGTTGCAATGATTATTATTAACAATGCATTGTTGTGTAGCACTAAAACTATTAAGTAATTACTCCTGGCAGATCTAAATTTCCTTCACTGTTGTACTCACCACCTCTGTGTTGGTGATCTTGGCCAGCAGGTCTGTCAGGTTGTCTCGACTCAGCCTCTGGTCAGTGTGGTCCAGCTGCAGGCCACAGACGGCAGCTCCCATGCTGCCAGTGGCGATCATGGAAGGAGGGTTCATGGCAAGGCGGTCATCTGGCGAGGAAAGAGTATTAATGTGCAATTAGTCAAGAAGCAGCTTTAGGCCATAGCGGCAGACGGAAATCACATTTGTAGCTGTGACACGAAGAGCTGCAACACTTAAATCAGCCCAGAGGAAGTAGAAGAGATGCATGAGAGGTGCAAACAACTGAATCATCTCCAATATGCATGCTCCACAGCTGAATCTGACTTTCCCACAGTCTGAATTTCAACAACGACGACGTAGCTGCATGGTGTAACCTGTGTGGTTTCCTTCATAGAAACCTCAGCTCTGATTAGAAAAGCAGAGTAGGAATCCTCCTACTCGCTGCGCAATGAGTTCCAGCAGGAAAAGAGTCCCTCCGGTACATGTCCAAGTCTAAAGGCTTAAGTGACAACAGGCCTGGATGGAAGAGGCGGAAGAGGCGGAAGAGGAGGCAGCCATGGAGAGTACACCTCCACAAGTACTGAGCTGGAGTTGCTTTTAACAGCTCATGATGTGGCTGTGAATTAAACCCACTCAGCTCTCGCCTCAACTGTTACTTTCATTTTATGGGAAACCCTAAAGTTGTAATCACAAAATGTCTTATCTGGAGTCTTCCTAAAAGGTCCCTGCTAAGAGTTAAAACCTTTTCACAAAGCTGCTGAGAAAAACCTTTTACAGAGGAACCGAGAGAACTTCTGACCCAAGAGAAGAAGCAAGGTTGGCCCCATTCCTATGGCTGACATCATGTTTCATGAATGGACTTACTATGTCTACAGTGATTGGTGAGCGGTTTGTGTCATTGAATGTTAGGAACAAATATAGATATACCTTGTGACTTTTTTCCCAGTTGCCCTAACAAATCTGTTAATTTATTTATTTATTTATTTATTCATAGCTTATGGTAAGTATTCTATGAACACTGTGGAACAAAGTGGAGTCTGAGGAGCATAATCTTGTTTTGATGGATAATTTAACAGAGAATTTCCAAGTTCATAAGCACTGCAAACTGCATCATCTCTGATGTTAAGCTGCCTGTATGCTTCTTCAGACCTGCTTGTCGGACGGTTGAATAGCTTCGGAAACCCTGTCAGATTAAATGTCCAAGCATTTTTGTAACTCTCCCAAGCCGATAATCTGACATTCACTTCAGCTTCATGGCATGATTGGCAAACTGTGCAGAGGTGTGAAAGGAGCCGGAGTCTGAACGTCTCTCTCTGGCTTTTCACTCCACCTTTTTCACTCAGAACAACGATAAACACATTTGATTTCCTACAAAGGCCAGACAACACGCAGTGCAAACCATGTCTTCAAGCATAAGCAGAGCATTATTGGATTGTTTTTAACTAACTTACACACCATAAAAATAAAAGTTTAATAAAAGTTAATTTACTTTATATATTTCCAAAACTCTTGTGTGTAAGTGTTTTGTGAGTAAAAGCCCCAGGATCTTTTTTTTACTATTACAATACACAGACTTCTTCCGGTCTCAGTACATGGACATAACCAACACTAACCCTAAAAAGGGCAGGGACTTGGCACACAAAATTATTCAAAAGTCCAACCCAGCAAATAGTCCTAGCCCTGCAGAAAAACCAGCCGTGGTGGCCTGATAGCTTTGATTAAACCCTGGAGAGCAGCCTGCTTCACTACGCCCATCTTCTCCTCCAGGGGCCAGCTGTCCATAGGAGGAGCTCCTCCATCATAAGAATAACATCTCAACTCCATATAAAACTCCAAACATTTACATTACTGCATAACCACAGCAGGCCTCTCTTTTTTTTCCACTGCGGCTGCTTTGTGCTTGGATATAACCAGCTGCTTATGAATAGCAGAGGCGACCACTGAAACACACCCAAATATAAAAAAAAGTGTGACCCTAAAACTATGCTAAACGGGGCATAAAGCTCATAGAACGAGCCTATGGTTCCAATAACTAGCTCCAGTAAACAAGTGCTTATTGGCCAGATCTGACCGCATTGGCGTTTGTGAGGAATGTCATTGCACTAAAGTGACCTCCTTTGTATTATTTCCATCATTGAATTAGTTGAAAGGAGGTAGCAGATGAAAGGCAGTCTTGTGACAGAGGAGTGCTGTATATTATGTGTATTAGGCGATCCTGCAGTTGTGTTTCTGTCCAGGATATGAAAATATTAGAGGGATTCCTAGTATAGGCTGATGAATGCCATGAAAACGTACCTAGGGAGAGGCCTAAGGGGACATCTGAGTTTGTGCTTCTCCAGAGCCTCCAGTTTATTTTGGACATGAGACCGGGATAGGAGGAGGAAGGAAGATCACTGGATCACTGCCCTGACTTTTTAAACCTGGGAGCTTCCCCGTCAACAAACAATACAGGGTGAGTAGAGTAGGGGTTCAACTGCACCTGAGTCATACAGCACAGTGCGTTTAGCTGGTGTACAATCACTATCCTTACCCATGTATGTAGCTTATCTGAACACAGCACTGATTAGAGTTTTCCCAGGAACTTAGAAGAAAAAACATGAAAATGACCACAGCTTTTAGCAGCTGTGAAGAAAAGCCCCTACTACAGGCTGTGGAGAGACTAGAAAGTGGATAAGGCAGCCAGTGGAGTAAGCGGAGAGAAGAAAGAGGTCACAGATGACTCACGATGGGAGAATGTTTGTGTGTGTGGGAATATTCTGGTGGATGTGGGAATAACAAGGCAGCAAAGTGAGCGTGCGAGTGAGCAAACAAGTAAGAAAAAGGCACATGAAATGATATGCAGCTGTGTTACCTGTGGCACAGAGGGCAATGAATGTCAACGTGTGTTTGCGGACCATCGCCAGCTTGTCTTTGGGAAGGGGCAGCCTGCGTATGATGTGCTCTATAAAATCATTGGGGATGACTGAGGCCATGTTCCACTTCAACTTCCCGAGCACGACCAGTTCCCAGTCCTAAAAGATAGAGAAAAAGATGATAAAAAGAGGTGTCGGTCAGTTCAAATTCAGTTTCCTGGCAAAATCTACTAAGTCAGAGGGTTAAATGGCGTGTTGCCATGCCTCTATTGACCGTGAAAAGATCACAGTCCGTTCCTTTTCCCAGAGGAAATGGCTCTGTAAGAAGAGTAACATTTCTTCACTTTATCTCTCCTCGCTGTATCTTATTATCTGCATGCCTTTCTCATTCCTCGCATCCTTTGTATTCATATCGCCGGCATGTGACAAGCTTTGCCCTGCTTAGAGGGCCTGCCAATGAGACAGCTAGCCCCTTCCTTCCTGTCACAAGCCTCAAACAGCTAGAATGAGTTTGCACTGCAGAGGCAGCAGCACAGAGCTGACTCTTTATACAGTCAGCTTTTGTACCAGCAAGTAAGGTGCACGTCTTTCATGATTTAATTTCCTGTGTGTTGAGTCAATCTTAACAATTGACGTATGTTTTAATGTCTTCCTGTTTGGATTTTAGTAAGAACAGCGGTGGGGGAAAAAAAAGCCAAGAAATCAAATTGAAAAAGGTGTATATGCACACATGAACTGATGTTTGCGTTTTAAGATTTAAGACATTTGCTAACACACAACGCCAAACTAGTCAAAATCACACATGCCTGCAGACTCCTAAGCACAAAAGTTAATTAGAAAAGTGCAGCAACAGAACGACCGGCCATTATCAGAACCAACGAGACTCTCCATGGAGAAGTCATTTGTATCCAAGAAACAAAATAACCAGTGACACCATTTTCAGGTTTTCATCATTGGCAGCCAATCAAATGGCCGCCGCCTCCCCCCTTCCTCCCTCAGGGTTTCCATAAGTCGTGCTACTCCAATTTACTGACGAGATTCTGTTCAGAGAATACGCTCTCACCATTGCCAACTCTTATCCCCGTGTATGACAATCACATATTGCAAGTCTGCATTTGCCATGTACGTATTCAAAATGAAGGCCTTGATTTTGCTTCCATATTTCTCACCAACCTACTCAACAACCTACTCAACAGTCCTGCTGCACTGAAGCATCTGAGTAGGTCTGTAAAGGTTTGCAGTTTGCAGCATTTCCTGACATCTTGCCCCCCCATCGAGTCATCTATTCTCACTTCATAGTATGAGAAACCAAGCCCATGATAAAGACACTTACAGGCCATTCTGAAATGTCAAAGGCATCATTTCATTATGTTTTTAGAATCACTTAGTTAAGCAGGAAGAACCCACACATCATTACATTACTGAGTAAAGTTGTATGCCTGTGTTTCCATTAATAGACACATATATGTAGAAACAAATAAGAGAAACAGATAAAAAAAATGCTGATGAATTCAACTTCTCACTTGCTCTATAGAGAAGTGTCACCTAAAAAGCAAACGTAGTAAACACCAAAAACCCCAATGCCATAACACCAGCAGGGACAGTCCCCTCCATCAACACTTATCTGTCATCATGTCAGCCATCATGTACATTTACATGGGTTTCCTGTACATAACCTGCCACACACACTTGCACTTAGCCTTTTTAGCCTGTGTGGGGATTGTTGACTATGTGATGAGCAGGGCGGAGGTTTGCCGTTGGTGCGCTCACTTCCTGGACAGCTGCCCCAACGCAACCTCCCCTCCGCCCTGCTTCAGCTTCTCTCTTCCAGCTGAAGCACCGGCAGCAGCAGAGTGTTCATTACAAGAAGAGCAGCAGCATCTTTCACTGGCTCTTGCTGCCTTCTCTGTGCATCCTGTCAGGATATCCAGGAATCTGGAGTCTTACAACAATATGGAGCATCAAATGGGACGAATGTCATTTCCCTCAACAGCTGCAGGCAACACAAGAGGATGTATAGAGAGCATGTGGAGCTTTTTGATTGAAATAAGAAGCAGGTCACCTCAGATTGGAAAATGGTCTAGAACTTAGCTGACTTATTAGTCGATAGACAATTAATTCATTGTTTAAGTCATGTTTAAGCACTGGATTGAAGGATCTGCTGCTTTTATTTGGGGCTGCAACTAATGATTCTCATTTTGTAGACAAATTGTCAAAAGATAAAGCAAAAAACAGGCATTGTATGTGTTTTCATTTATATTTTTGTTGTCTTTACATTCAGTGTTTTGTCCGACCCACAGTCCCAACCACAAAGATATACAGTTTACTATCGCCTACGGCAATGAAGAGCTGCACATTATCGCATTGGAGGGCCTGAATTTCTGGAATTCTTGTCTAATTTTGTCATTCAACTCATTGATTTAGCTCTTAGCTCTTAGAATTAGCTGTCTTTTTTTGTCGTAGCTCTGTGATGGTAAACTGAATAAAAGATCATAGTGAGAACGAACATCTACAGGAACATCACAACTAGGCAAACGTAATCTGCTGATGAAGATACGGTAGAAAGCTCCAGAACAAGCTCGTACGTAGACCTTGAGTGGAGGTTGTTTTGTCAACTTAATATCCTGGTTATTGGACAAAACATCAACTCTGGCTTTAGAAAATAGTGACTTTTTACGATTTTCCGACATTTTATAAAACAAATGATTAGCTTCAGCACTAATATGGTTGATGGCTCCAACGGGTCTCAAAGTTTGTTTAATAACGCGCATGTTAAAGTAAAGAACTGTATTCTTCTGAATGCTGTACAGAGATATAATCCTCTTGTATAATACTCATACGTATGTGGGAAGGTAAGGTTAAATGGTATTCAGACATCTTTTGTCAGTATGAACCCTTCTGTATCTAATAGACACACAGAAACTCCATGTACTGCAACATATCCAAAAATCTATACTGCATAACTGGCACTAGATGGCATCACTTGCCACTTTAGGCCACATGGATCCAAAGAAAGGATGTGGCTGTATTGTGCACAGCTCCACTTATAAAGGAAAAATGGGATACTTCCTGTGAAACCAATATAGCCATTAGCATTATAAAATCATCCCAAAATATGACACTGCTTTTTTATGCTCCAATCAATGGGGGGGCTTTCATGTCCAGTTCTTACCAGCAGTTCCCGTGGTGTGATGGAGTTGTCTGTGTACATGCAAAGTTTTTCTGCTGAAAGCGGCCTGCAGTCCTTTAACTTGGAGGCCAGGAAAATGCACACAGCTCCCAGAAGCTGCAAATAATTCTTTCTTGTGGGCATCACTGCTAAAAATCTGTCCAAATAATTAATGGCTAAAGGGAAGACGTCTTCATTACTCTTCTCCTCTTCACACACCTAAAAAGGAGACAGAAATGTAGCAGAAAAACACATATTTGGCATAAATAAGTGTACAAATACATACAAAAGTACAATTTTATAAAAGAAACTAGAGCATTTACAAGTGCTTTAAAGCAGAAGAGCAGCAGAAGGTGAGGGGTTGGTTTTATGCTGGGATTTTTCCATGCTTGTCTTTGGGTTAAAAAGGTTAAATCACAAACTTTTGTATCACTTTACTGCAAGGCTGCAAAGTCAAGGCAAGGCAAAAAACAAATTAGTTCAATAGGAAGTCGTTCAGCAAAAAAAAAAAAAAAAACCCGACGCCATTCAACTCCTCTTCCTTGTTGGGGCTTGTCGTCTTTAAAAAAATATTTAAAAATAAAAACTAACCATGTAGTCGCTTTAAAACGTGTGCACAATGTTAACAAGTGGCGTTAAAACAATTCCCGACAGTTACAAAGACAATATTTTGCTAACAAGAAGTGGTTTTTAATCCTCAAAAATGAAAGTGGTTTAGCATGCACGTTGTCCGACAACAGGCAACGAGCTTGAGTCACTTTAGAAAATTAATAATAATTATTAGAAAGGAGAAATGTCGGTTTTTCGATCATGTAAATTAAGACCAACTTCCCCTCTGATACCTGAGCTAGCTAGTTAACAAAAAGCACCAACTTTGTAGCAGTTAACTAATGTAAATATCCAGCTAGGCTATTTCTTTGAAGCTGAATTTTCTTCGTGGTGGAATTTCCGACTCTCCCACGCCTTTTGGTGAGTCATTCTCATTTAATTGTCAAATAGGTCAACATCCATGACAACTCCTCTCTTAACTTAAAATACTCCAACACAGCTTATAGGCTATGTGTGTCAACATGCAACAACAACAACAAAAAGACATGAGTTAAAGCAGTTATAGAGGGGAGGGTTAGCTCATCGTAAAGTGCAACACAAACCTCGTGCATCCAACCTGCAACCATTCGTCTCATATAAGGCTGAATATCCTTCTGGACCCGCTGGAAATATGAACACTGAGGTAAAAACCTGTCCTCAATTGTTAATAAACTTTGCAACACTCTGTCATCATAGAGGATGTTTGGGTCAGGCTGGGCTTTCACGGCTATGTCCGACTCCAGGCAATAAAGCTCCATGACTCGGCCCCCTTCTCCCCCTCCTCTCCTTTTTTTTTTTTTTTT